GGCCCTGTACACGTGGGCTGGCCTTCGGGCCACGCTCAGGTCCCATTTCACCTATTGCTTTCAGAATACATGCATTCAACCCCAATTATACCTTCTACTACCCCATCGGAAGCCTCGGGACGCTGCAGCTGCTTCTTCTATTACCGAAAATTCGTTTCCTTCTGCGGAGTGTAGTCTAGTAGCCGGTTGGGTAATTTTGGCCTTGCTGCAGACCATGGAGAAAGCCTGTGGCTTTAGTAGGGAACGTGTGACCTTCTAGCTTGCCCCGTACACGCATAAAGGTAGAACATCGTGAGAGAGTTAGATAAGACAAAGAAAATTGTGTCTTATTGTGCATTGAGGGGCCGGTTCGGGACGCACGCCATTGCTCGCCAGTAGGGCGTTTGTTGGGAGTTCAAGTGTGAATGAGGGGCTTGAACGCGATTGAGAGATGTAACTCTTGGCGCTTAGCTGGTGCCGCATCGATGAGGCGGCTCAATCTGCTACTCCTCATCTGCACAAGTTGTTCTGCCAAAGCAGGTGGACGTACACCCCTTTTGAACTGGGCTGCTATCCATGAGGCAACCCGCAAGGGACAGCAATCTTTGAATGCCTATTTGCCCAGTGCCTGGAGATTCCCCGCAAAGTCTTCATCACTCTCTCGGTTTTGTAACCTGTGGAAAAAGTCTGAAGCCAAAAACTCTTCCTTCTGGAGAGATGTCAATTTGCAAGAACTTCACAGAAGTCTTCCATGTCTGGGGAAAGCGAGACACCCGCATCCATTGCTTTCCGACGTAGGCCATAGGGCAAGGCATGGAGTAGCAATGGCACTCGCCGAGTAGGCCCGTAGAGTTCGAGACCTGCCTTTGTAAAGCAAAGCCAGTCGTCGAAATCAGTGCCTTCTTTGAAGGGAGGGATGTCGACCGACGCTGCCGCCAGTGTAGGAGCTGTCTGTCTACCCTCTGGTCCCTGAAACTCGGACTACAAGAGACAGTTGGTTGCGGATTATTTATTTGGCATTCGTTACTGTAATATATTCTAGTTTGTTTAAGTGGACTTTTATAGGCGAGAGGCGGAAAGCAATTGGAAACGTGGATCACGTGCGCGAGGTCGACGAGGAGTCTTCCTGCGATTGACATCTCCTGCTCTCACATCTGCATTTTATTCCCCTATCCTTCTTACAGAGATGCCTAATAAACCGTCCACAACCAACTTCCTCTTAAAGTCTGAGAACCAGGGACCAAAGGGTAGACAGGCAGTAACTACAGTTACAATTACATGTATCCAACTAATCAACCATGCCGTAACAGCTTCAAGTAAATTGCCTTTCCTTAATTTGTGTCGTGTGATAAGTTTATTGCTTAACTGATCGTTAGCATAACGACTCAAGGCTTCTCATATGACTGCAGGATAAGGTAGGGCTGGTTACCTGTATCCGGAGAGTAGTAAAATGAGGTCAAGCTCTGGCATTGTCAGGAGAGCAGCCTGCTCGAGAAAAAGGAAGGCGATTACTAGCTTGACCGATTATACAGGCGGTTAAATATACATTTTATTGTATGCACTCCTAACAATTAGGCTTTCTTATACCTTTTGGGTTGCTTGATGACGCAAGACTAAAGATCAAAAACAGCCAACATTCATATAAACGGGCAAACTACCGCTTTTATGTTCCAGGCTTTTAAGTCCCTTGATTCTTTAATATCCATTCAAAAGAGCTTTATTGCACTACAATTTAATATTACCCAAAGTTTCATCTTTATCGTCAGCTTAAAAAATTCAATTTTGTGAAGCTAATCGCAGGTAATAAAAATTTGTTACTCTTTTAATTTTCAATTTTGTTTGAATATCTGATTCGGTGCTGTTCAAATTGTCGCTTTCGTTTTTCCGTCAATTGCTCTGTTCTCTTAGGTCTTTGTAGCTATGGCTGATGAAAATGAGTTATTGGATTATGACGAGGAAGATCAGGAAACCGTGCAGGATTCCAAACCGAATGGCGACCTTCAAGCTAAGAAAGCTGTGAAAGGTGACTACGTCACTGTTCATAGTTCCGGCTTCCGTGACTTCATTCTTAAACCCGAGGTCTTGCGTGCTATCGTGGACTGTGGCTTCGAACACCCATCGGAGGTTCAGCATGAGTGTATTCCTCAGGCTATTCTTTCGATGGACGTTCTCTGTCAGGCCAAGTCGGGGATGGGGAAGACTGCCGTCTTTGTCATTGCCACGCTGCAACAGTTAGATCCAGAGGAGGAAGGCATCACTCGAGTCATCGTCCTTTGCCATACTCGCGAGTTGGCCTATCAAATTAGTAAAGAGTATGAACGGTTCTCAAAGTACATGCCTAAGATAAAGGTAAAGTCGGTTCTGCATTCCGTCACAGTTCCTTAGGTTGGGGTCTTTTTCGGTGGAATGCCACTTCGGAAGGATATTGAATCGCTGAACAAGTGCGCACCGCACATTGTAGTGGGCACTCCTGGACGTATTCTCGACCTCATTCGTAACAAAGCGTTGAGGTTGGATCACATTAGGCACTTCATCATCGACGAATGTGACAAGATGCTTGATACCCTCGGTTTGTTATCTTCGACTTCCCAACTCTTTAGACATGCGCCGGGACGTCCAGGACATTTTTCGCATGACGCCGCGCAACAAACAAGTCATGATGTTTAGTGCGACCATGAGCAAAGAGATTCGTCCCGTCTGTCGCAACTTCATGCAAGATGTACGTTGGTGGTGACAGACGCTGGATGTGGATGGTAAAAAAAAAATCGCGAAACGCGGCGACCACCGACCGACCAACAACTTCATTTAAAAAACTACCCCGAAAAAGTGAGATTTCCTCGGAAGTAGGAATTGAATCGGCCACTGGCGTCTCCCGATTCCACAAGTTTGGACAGTGTGTCGTCCAACCGCCTTTTGACCGGCAAACGTATGGTGGGGATGGTGGTGATGATAGGCGCAGCTAAACCGATTGTCGAGCGTCGTTTTGCAATGGCAACGCGGTTACCGCCACGGTGACAACGACGACGACGACGAGGAAGCGTAGTTAATGCGGGTGGTGGTCGACCACGGAACGCGTCGCTCTCAGCTTAGCCGTAAAGCCTGATCTCTCTTTCCACTTTTAGCCTCTGGAAATCTTTATTGACAACGACTCCAAATTGACTCTGCACGGTCTGCGCCAACACTACGTCAAGGTGAAGGAGAACGAGAAGAATCGGAAGCTATTTGAGTTGCTTGATGAGTTGCAGTTCAACCAAGTGAGCAAGTGATGACCTGCTATGCTAATACTGACTTCGGGCTGCCTCGACTCGTGTCCAGCGCCGGAGCTTGAGTTCGTAATCACCCCTGATTCTCCGTGATAAAGGTTTTTGTTCTTCACAGGTCATTATTTTCGTCAAATCGGTTCAGCGTTGCATTGCCCTGGCTCAGCTTCTCGTCGACCAGAACTTTCCTGCAATCGCAATGCACCGTGCGATGTCCCAAGAGGAGCGGCTGGAACGCTATCAGGCCTTCAAGAACTTCCACAAGCGCCTTCTTGTGGCTACGAATCTCTTTGGACGTGGGATGGACATTGAACGCGTGAACATTGTTTTCAACTACGATATGCCCGAGGACTCCGATACGTACCTGCACAGGGTTGGTTGGCCTTTTGATTTATTAACGTTACCTTGGTCGTGTAGGTTGCACGAGCCGGTCGCTTTGGGACCAAAGGATTGGCAATCACCTTCATTTCGGACGAACATGATGCCAACATCCTGAATGATGTTCAGAATCGATTCGAAGTGAACATCAGCGAGCTGCCTGATGTCATGGAGATTGCCAGCTACATGGAAGACCGTTAAGGAATCCGCGGAAGGACTTTATCGTGTCGCAAATTTCTTGCATTGTGTACAGTTTTTGAGTAGAGAAAGCGTTGTCACCGAACTCTGCCTGAATTGTTGGAGATTTTGACTTGTTGATTACGGTTTTCAACTCTTCCGATGTGCGTACGTGTTTTCGGGAGGCTGTGGTTCCGTACAGTTTCGAGCGATGTGTAGCGTTGAGATGATCCAGGGTTTAGTGTTCGGAGTGGTT